GGGGGGGGGGTGGGCTGGCTTGGCTTCGGCTGGCTGGCTTTGTGGTCCGGTTAAAATTCAAAATACAAAAGCATACAAGCGCATCGAGAGAGAGAGAGAGAGAGAGATAGAGAGAGAGAGATCGGATATTAATAATATAATTATTATTGGACCTTCAGATTTTGAAAGTCCATGCCCAAAAAAAAATAGAATTGCCCTATTTTCAATCTGACCCCCAAAATCTTATCCCCTCCTAACAAGTCCCAGTCCCAAAGTCCCAACCACTTCTTTTGTTTTAGGTCCAATTAGCTTCTCGGGTTTATTCCAAACCAAAGCCCAATCTCGCTTTCCTCCTCCCCTCTCTTTCTCTCTCTCTCTCTCTCTGCAAAACCCTAGATCTCGCCACCGCCGGAGACTCGAAGCTCGGCCTTCGAGCTTCACGCCCGCCTCACCGATCTCGTTCTTTCCGGGTCTCCCTCGAAACCCCCTCTGGTAAAATTCCCGACTCCAGCCCCGATTTTTGTTTTTCAAAGCTTTTACAAGTCTCCGCTTTCCGCTTTCCTTGTTCTTCTCTCGGGCTTTTGTATTTCGAAGAAGACCTCAATTTTGTCTTTAATTTCGGTTTTCGTGTTGTAAATTTTGAATTTCGTAGCTCGATTTTGCTTTAATTAGGTGTAATTTTGTCTGTTGGTTCTGTTGGTGTGCGTTTGAGTTAATTTAGCGCCTTTTGTCTTCGTTTTCATATCGTGTTGAAGATGATCTGTTAACTCTTTGAGAACTGGGTTTTTTCTTCAATCTGGGCTTGCGTTTAAGAAGTTGTAAAGTCCAAGCTCGATCTAACGGCTGAAACCGTAGAGATCTGGTTTTCGTTTAATTATTTTTACATCCTTTTAGCCCGTTATCAGGTATTTTTGTCCAGTGTTGACCTGACCCATCTGCGATCCGTTGTTAGGGAGAGAGTTCATCTTTTGATTGAAGAAGATACAAGATGGCCTTAAATCCGATGGACTGTTTTAGATCTAGGCAGGTCAAGGTGTTTTTGGGTTGACTAGTTCATGTTTTTGTCTCGGCCCATTTGAGTTTGATTGGGCCCAGTTTGTGGAATATACGATATAAGTTATAACTATTGTTTCACACGGGTGTTTAAACTTACTTAACACCCAACGCCCCACCCCGCCTTTAAAAACAAAAACAAAAACAAAAACCAACCGTTGTACTTGAAGCACGGGTTTGCGTTGGTACTAGGCGGACTTGCCTTTGTAGGTAAACTTGGCATGCGAGATGGGCTTGTCTCTCAGCAAAGGGAAATAGGTAGACAGATATTGTGTAGTTGTGTAAGTAGGAGTGTCCAACAAGCAGAATTGCTTTGCTTAATTGTGTCTGTTACATGTCTCATGATAGTCAAAAAGATGAGGAAGAATTGCTGGAATGATGTTTAAGTAGGATTCCTTCCATATTTCATGTATGCTTGCACACACATCAACTGCAGTTTTTTGCTATTTTATTTAGCTGCATAACACACGTCAACTGCAGCTATATAACTAATCCGCTGTTCTTAAGTTGTCTCAGCACATTGAACTCTGGGTTCGTTTCTCCCTTAGTCATTATGCTTTTATCATATTATTCAGACATCTATGAGCTGCAATACCAATTTTAACAACACAGTCTCAATGCAAGAAGCTTTTATAATGTTGATTCTCTTTATTTACTTGCTTTTTGGTTCATGCTGAGATTTTTTCTAGCGAAGAGTGTTTTCTTTTCATGTATTCTGTTATCTTTATGCTCTTATTGTCAACATTGACTAGTCATTTTCTCAAAGGTTGTTTCTACTTGCCGAATGCAGGATTTTACTCCTCAAGACAGCATGGCTACCCCTGTTGAAGAGACAATGGCCACACCTATTGAAGACAAAATGGCAACCCCTGTTGAAGAGGAAATGGCCACTCCTATTCAAGACAAGATGGCTACCCCTGATGAAGACAAGATGGAAACACCTGATGAAGAAAAGACGCTAGCCCTAACCCAATATGAAGACAAAACAGCAACTCCCTATGAAAACAATGAGGTGGCAATTCCAGAAGCACAGCCTAACAAGCGAAGGAAAAAGAAGTCCATAGTCTGGGAGCATTTCACCATAGAAACTGTGAGTGCTGGATGTAGGAGGGCATGCTGCAACCAATGCAAGCAAAGTTTTGCGTATAGTACGGGTGCAAAAGTAGCAGGTACCAGCCACCTCAAACGCCACATCGCCAAGGGGACTTGCCCAGCACTTCTCCGTAACCAGAACAATAGTCAATCATCCCCATATACCCCATCTCCAAGGGGTGGTAGCTCTTCCAATCCACCTAAAAGGCGTTACCGAACTCCTAGCACACCCCAAATTATGTTTGATCCAGACCGTTGCCGCCATGAGATTGCAAGGATGATCATCATGCATGACTACCCACTGCATATGGTTGAACATCCTGGTTTTGTAGCTTTTGTCCAGAATCTTCAGCCACGGTTCAACATGGTGAGCTTCAATACCGTTCAAGGAGATTGCGTTGCAACATACCTAATGGAAAAGCAAAGTCTTACCAAGTTTATTGAGGGCATACCTGGACGTGTTTGCCTTACATTGGATGTGTGGACTTCCTCTCAAAGTGTGGGTTATGTGTTTATTACTGGGCACTTCATTGATGCTGACTGGAAGTTGCACAGGCGGCTGCTCAATGTTGTGATGGAACCATATCCTGACTCAGATACTGTGCTTAGTCACGCTGTTGCTGTTTGCCTTCATGATTGGAGTTTGGAAAGCAAGTTATTTTCAATTACTTATGATCGGCCATTGAGTGAGGCTGCTCTTGCAAATTTAAGGCCTCTTATCCCTATCAAGAACCCACATATCCTCAATGGTCAGTTATTGGTGGGAAATTGCATTGCCCGCACTTTAAGTAGCATTGCAACAGAAGTGTTAGCGGCAGGGGAAGATACAGTGAAAAAAATCCGGGACAGTGTTAAGTATGTGAAGACATCAGAGTCCCATGAGGAGAAATTTCTCGAGCTTAAGAATCAGCTTCAAGTCCCAAGTGAAAGGACCCTATCTCTTGACGACCAAACTCAATGGAATACAACGTATGAGATGCTGGTGGCCGCTTCTGAATTAAAGGAAGTGTTTTCTTGCTTGGATACATCTGATTCTGATTACAAACATGCCCCGTCAATGGAAGATTGGAAGCAAGTTGATACTCTCTGCACATACTTGAAACTTATCTTTGATGCAGCCAACATCCTTACCACTACATCAAACCCAACTGCAGTTACCTTCTTCCATGAAGTGTGGAGGATTCAGACGGAGCTGGTTCGTACGATTACAAGTGAGGATCCCTTCATTAGCTGCCTAACTAAGGTAATGCAAGACAGGATTGAAAAATACTGGAAGAACTGTAGCCTGGCTTTGGCAACAGCGGTAGTTATGGATCCCAGGTTCAAGATGAAGCTTGTCGAGTTCAGTTTCAACAAAATTTACGGCGAAGAAGCTCCAACATATATCAAGATTGTTGATGATGGAATTCATGAGCTCTTTCATGAATACTTGACACTGCCTTTGCCTCTCACACCAACTTATGCTGATGATGGAACTGGGGGAGCCAATGTCAAGACGGAGGATTCCCAAGGAGGAACTCTTCTTACGGACAATGGACTCACTGATTTTGATATGTACATCATGGAGACTACTAGCCAACAGATGAAGTCAGAGCTGGATCAGTATTTGGATGAGTCTCTGTTGCCTCGAGTCCATGAATTTGATGTGTTGGGCTGGTGGAAACTAAACAAGATGAAGTACCCGACACTTTCAAAGATGGCTCGTGATATTTTGTCAATTCCGGTATCCACAGTTCCTTCTGAGTCTGTTTTTGATACCATTGCCAAAGAGATGGATCAGTACAGGAGTTCTTTACGACCAGAGACAGTGGAAGCCCTTATATGCGCCAAGGATTGGATGCAGCATGGATCAGCAGAAGCTCCAAATAATGCACTAGTGAGAATGGAATATTAGATTGTAGGTTTGTTCCGCTGTCACGATGCGTTTGTGATATGTGATGTTAAGTTGCCCAGCCAGGAAGATGTATGATGTTAGGTTCTGTATCATTTAACGTAGTTTATTTCACCATTAGAAGTATTTATCTTTTGTACCATTTTAAGAGATTGAATGCTTGGACCTGAACATTGTAGTCTTAAATTTTCTGATGGTTATGATTACATGAAGTTTGGTGCTGGGAAAGCAATGGAGGATTATTAGGCCATGCCCTGCTGCTCAAACTCTTCTGTTTGTGATTGTGCATTATGCTTTGTTTTACACGAGATGGTAGAGTTGTTAAAATCTTAACCCAAATGAATCGTGGATGTTTGCCTTTATGGCTAATCGTCATGAACAACTTCAATGTAAGACATTCGCAGCTAAACCATTTAGGAAAATGAAGTGATATTTCTACATTACTGATACGAGTTACAATATAATCCAATGGGCGTTCTCAACAGAGAAGAGCAGAGAATTCGAAAGGGACAATGAACCCATTTATCTAATCTAAGTAAGCCTAATGATGGATGAAGAACCATTTCCTATAACTCTATCTCAACGACGTGAACTTTTTGACCCTCCTCCTCCTCAGGCAAATGGTCCAAGCTCAAGCGCACCAACCCAGATGACGAATTGTAGTCAAAATCTACCACATTGCAACCCACGCAACACCTCCTGGGCTTAGCTGAAGAGTAGGCGCCAAACCTGCCACACCCCTTAACCTCCAATCGAACCAAACCATTAGTTCCATTCTCTTCATATCTCAACCCTTCAATGGCCCCCCCTGCGTTATACATGTCCACCAGTCCCAAGGGAGCGAAACTGATGCCAGAGCCCAAAGCCCTGATGGGGGTCACCGTGAAAATCTCGTGTTCAAGCACTCTGAGAGAGATGGGCAGGCACGCATTGTAAGGCAGCGTCACCAGATCTCCCGTCCGTTGACTGTAGACGGCACAGTCACCTTTCCAATCTGCGTCGACGGCGGCCTCTGCGATGAGGTGGACGTCGCGGCCGCGAATGAAACCTGTGATGGCTTCTGACTCGGTTTCGTGGAAAGCGTTCTTCCGTTCTGTGGTGCTCCACGCCGCTCCTTGGCAGTTGTACACACCAAGCACGCCTGTGTACTTGTTCATGTTCCATATCTTCAACAAGCTCACCCCGTCTCGGGCCGGGTCTGAGAACAAGCAGTCCCTGGTCGGTCTTCCCGGCAATCGGGCTCGGAGCACCGACCCATCAGACAACACCAGCTTCCTCAGCAGCTCAAAGTTGTGCTTCCCAGGCGCATCACTGCCCAACACAACAACAACCGATTACTTAATTAGCAAACACATTCACACAAAAAATTAACATTTGCTTAATTAAGCACACAAACAAACATTAGTCAATACAATAGTAGTTAGTTACCTGACATAGATGGGCCCACCACTGATGGCCCTGGCGGACGCGTGGTACTCAGCCGCCTTGTGGAGTGAGTGGAACATGTCCCAATCGGGCAGCATAAACTCGCCGAGAAACACGCTGTTGTACGCAACCGCTGCAATGTGGATCGTGTGCGACACCGGGTCACGTGGGTAGAAATCGTCCGATGCCCTCACGACTGCCGTCTGTTTGGAGCAGTAGAGCGCATCAGTATTGTGGCTCATGCACGCTATGATCCCATTGTCTGGAAAATTCCGGGCCACCGACGCGTCCAGGGCCTGGTGGTACTGCCGGGTGAGCTCCACCCGACCGCCCACCCCGGCTCCGAGAGTTTCGAGTATGCACTGCACGTCCACCTTAACCCCATCTACACCCGCAGAGCTCAAGTAACTGTGCAATTCGTTGTAGAATTTGTATACGCTTTTCGGGTCAACTAGACCCAAACCTTGTACGGCCATCACATCCGTTTTCCATGTTGGCTCATTCTCCACAATTCCTTTGGACACATTCGGATACTTCATCAGGGATCCGTATTCCTCCATTTCTTTGATCCCGGGTTGCACCCCGCCCCAATACCCGGTGATTGCGTGCCACACATACACGTACTTCAACCCGTGATTTTGCTTCGCTATGTTCACAATGTTCTTAATCCCCACCGTCGGATCGTCCGTCTTTTGAAACTTTGAATTTTCTTTGATCCCAGACAACCTAAGCAATCCCTGCTGTTGGTCGCCGCCAACGCATTGCCAGCCGTCGTCGATGATAACGAATTTCGGCGGGGTGCCACCGGCGGCTAAGGACTCAAGCCCAGCCTCGACGCCTTCCTGAGTCACCTCCTGGTAAAACGCGTCCCAGGTGCACCACCCGAAATAGTCAACGATTCCGGGGAGTTTCTTCTCGTGCCGTTGACGAAACGTCTGCAAGTGAACTTTAACGGCCCTGATTGCTTCAGTAATTGTCGCGAACGGGTCCGTCCCGGCGTGGATAAATAGCGAGTGCGAAAACGACGACGCTTTGGTGTCAGCGTCGCCGCTCTCCAGACAGAGCTCGAGCTCGTTCTGTGCGTTGCCTTGCAAGCAAGCTCTGAAAGAGCCTTCGATAAGGGGGAGGAACACGGTGTAGACGATCTGATTCTCTTCGTCTCCGTCGTCGGATTCGAGGTGGGACCCGTCTTTGGTCTCCACCAATAGGAATTGAGTCTCGAGCGGGATATCTCTTCCTTGATCGCCCATTTTCTGGGCCATCCACCATAACTTGAACCGGAAGCACGCCAAGAACCGGACGTCGTGAAAAGTTCCCAAGGGAATGACGTGCCTGCTGTCGTCCCCCTCGAAAGCCGCGCCGAGGAAGACCCCCTCGACCGGAGAGGAAGACGAACCGGATGTGGCGACCACATTGTCCGGTACTCCCGTCAGAATCGTCCGGTCCTTCACTATCAGCTTCCGCTCGGAGATGCGAACCGCCGGTTTGATCGTCATCTCTCTTTCTTCTTCCTCTGATTTCTCCTTGTATAGCTTTATGTAGGGTGTACGGTTCTCTCTTCTCTGCAATATTTCAAATAAACGTCTGAAATTCTAATTCGTAAATTCAATAATTCATTCAAACTCCATGCTTGGATGATGTAATTGAAAAATACCTGAAAAGCCAATAACGAAGGTGCTCGATTCCAATAAAATCTGCAAATTCCACAACATGAACGAAAGAAACAATGAACCTTGTCAGTAAAGCCCTCAAAATAGTTTTCTGGGAAACCAAACAGATAGCAAAGAGAGAAAGAAGAGAATAATACCAGAAGTGGTGGAGCGATTCAACAAGTTGTTTGATCGGTTTGGGAGATTGAATTTGAGAGCACAAGAATAATGCTTGGAACAATTGAACGTGGGTAAATGAAATGTTGGGGTAGTATTTATAATACGAGCTAGAGAACTGTAACACGAATTTGACACCATTGCTTCCGACTCGAGACCTCTCTCTCTCTCTGTATGATTCTACATAATAGTTGTTTATTCGCTTCTCGTCTCAGTCTCGCCCTTTTCAAGTCATAGCTTATCCTATCCGACGGCAACACGAATATCGTCTTAGGTTAGGCCGTTGAATTTGACGATGGGTAAGACTTCCACGTCGGATCCACGTCCTACCAATCCAAACACTCGGATTACATCCAGCTTCACGAATTTTGACACGCGGGATGTAATTATTCTCCTTTAGAGGCTATAGCATTATTTTATTAACGTGCTGACCTGTGTCCACGTCTTCAGTCTTTGCCGTGAACGCCGGCGAATTACTTTGCTTGGGTAAAAATAAAATTGAACTTTTCTTAGTCAAGCTCAAGCGTGTATTATGAGCGTTGCGTTAAGAAATTGATAAGGTGATAATGGAGCATTATTATGATCAATCATTGATGTGCCACGTATGCTTATTATTTATGATTGGAACAGTTTGTTTGGATACAATGTCACGCGTAACAATTTGCAAAATCTAGTATTTTGCCTTTTAAATTAAAATATATAAATAGGGATACTTAAACCAATTATTGAAATGTCTGCAAATTCAAATCTCCCACGAGCAACAAATCTTGGGGGGGTCACTATCCATCATTTTAATCACACCATATGATTGTTGATTAAGGAACGTTAATTACGTCAACAAATTGATTTCATACTTTCAACTTCCAATTTTGTTTGAGAAAAAACTCAACTTCGAACTTTGTTTGTTTCCCTCATGCCAAATGCAATTGTGTATAAATCTGGTTTATCGGCACTCCTCTATCTATAATTAGGGTACACATAACATATGCGACTAATATTGTTTTGGTCCAACATAAATATCTTTATGACAAAGATTTATCTTACATTAGTGTCGCACATCACATCAAAGTTCAATGATTTAATTTATAAGGTAATAAAATTCTATTTGGTCAAGTTCGAGAAGTTTGCTGAGATTTGAGAAGCTAATTACGATAAGGAACTTGTAGCTCGATTTGATACCCTCTTTTTCCACTATCCATTGTATTTAAAAAAACAAAAACAAACGGCTGATTTAGAAGCTATTTGGTTAGTTCAAAATGGCAATTGTCTAGGCGTGGATGAGTCCATCTGGACGATTGTGATTAAATTAAAGTGATATATGGAGGATATCCTAAAGTTTGATTCTGGATACACACTTTTGGGGACATGATCAGACCATGGATTTCAATTTCCTTGATGTGGGACCAGTACAAACACCGCCAGCAGTCACATGCTGAACATAAATAAATACTGTTCAAAGTTGGGTGAAGCTCAACATAATAAGATGGGCTGCAGTGTACTCTATCTTCCCCTTTTTTTTTTTGGGGTAGCCCAATAGCCCTTTAATCAATTATTCAACCCGCCATCCGTTTCACTGAACCCACCCTTCCCCGGGTTTTGGCGCGAAATGTGTTCTCCATCTCAACAGCAGTCTCACTTTAGGGTTTCACATCACATACTACTGGCACTGTTTCTTCGTCTCTCCCACCGCAACAATGTCGAATTTCTCAGACCAGCTCGATGAAATCAAATCCGTCATTTCTTCAGGAACCAAAGGAACTAAGTCATTCGCTTACTCCACCCTCTTACACCTCCAGCAACAGTCATCTGACAGCCATGCTTCAATTAAAACACTCGCGCGAACCTCTCAGAGCCTAATCCATCCAATCGTTGCCGATATTCAAGACGAGGACGAAGAAATGTGAATTCCGATACTCTGTTCCTCTGTTTTTTTTTTAATCAAATTTTAAGATTTAAATTTTATTGAAGTGTAATTCAATAT